ACACTCGCACATCGTCACACCGGGTCTGGTGTGAGATTCAATGGCAATGATGTACACTCAACGCAATTTGCCACGCATAAAAGTGTCGTATGTACGCAAAGAGCCCAGAATGGCTAGCAAACGCAAGTAACTGAATGTGACCTTAGGATGTCGCAGTCCAATAACAGGTTTGGCGGATTAAGGAAAGCAGATCCCTTGACAAAAGATGATCATTGGTTGGTGGACCGAAAAGTCGACATCACAACCAATTGCATGTAGGGCTGAGATTATGGAGAGAGAATATGCACCAGCACCATACACCTGCTTCTTCTCATTTCGCACAGTCACTACGCGCCCATCCGAGACTATACTGACGTCTTTTACGGTTGCTGGGCGCTCCGGAACAGCTATTAGGTCAGGTTCGATGAAGAATTTCGAAGTAAGTGTACTCAACTCTTAAAGGACAGCGTATTCCAGTCGACGGAGACATTTTGCAAGTTAACCTTCAAACCGATTATGACGAGCACATCTTTCGTCATGCTTGATCCAGAAGGATTGCAAAATATGCATTTAACTCTCCGGTTGGCCACAGTTTCCACGGTCTGGCAACCATGACCATGCCAAACGCTTCTAACTCTCGTTTTTAGCAGGTTGCATCAAAGCTGGATACCGCGGAGGAAACACTCGTTCTGGAAAGACAATCCACCAATTAGAAATAAGCGAAGCTACCAACTCTCGTAAACCGCGACCGTTCACACTATCGTGCAGACTATCACCCCAAGCAGCCACCAGCTCTTTGATCTTTACGCAGGCACCATAGGCTCGGATCGGAAGGCTCATATTTCGAACAAATTTGACAATGCGGATTCGTTGAACACACAACGTAGTACTTGGCACCGAAAGGAGTTTCTCCATATGCGCTCTCCGCTGCATCAGGATCGTTGCACTCAGACTTGGGATACCAAGTCGCCCATGGTTTTTACCGGCATGGATGTAGCTGATCGGAGTGCCCTTTGGTAGGCGCAGCCAGCTACGAATAAATTCCTTGATTTGGTTGTCCAAACTTTTTAGCGTGCTTCACGGTAGAGCACGAGCGAATATGTCAGCCCCGATATCAGGTAGTTCCCGTGATGTGCGACTTCAACGAGTCACCCCATCGAGCAGTTTGAGCAAATGCTGTCGATGGTTGAAGACCCCTTTATTATTGAAAGTAAAGTGGATGCCCAAGTATGTTGCGCTGCCTGTCGGACCCAGAGGAGTGATGGGCTCGTCTGCGAAGCAAAATAATTCGACTGAGGCTGCTGTCGCCGATGTTCCCCGTCCAAAAAATCACCATCGCTTTCTGGCGTTTATCTTCATACCAACTCTTTTCAAGTTAATTTATTAGAGTTGAACCCTTATTATACATATACAATGAAATAGTTTTCACATAAAAACATTCAGGAAACCATGAAAATGGAATGGCCTGTATGGTGGAACTCTATCCAAAAATACAACTTCAAATCGGTTCTGTTTCAATGCACTGTCAATTCAGTATGTTGTGCGTTGCGCGAAGACCGGTTCTTACCAGATGAGTTATTGTTCGCTCACTCTTGGTGGTTCATTGTGATGAACATGATACTCTATTCGTTGCTTCAGTATGTTTTGCGCGAAGACCGGTTCTTACCAGATGAGTTATTGTTCGCTCACTCTTGGTGGTTCATTGTGATGAACATGATACTCTACTCTATTCTCTATTCATTATTCTCTTGTTTTAATATTGTATATGCTGTACATATTCGCCAATTCGAATACATACGTGCTGGTTGTTAGGCTTCGCTGAATTCTGGATTTCTAGTTCGTCTGGTTATACTGATATACGTACGAAACTCAATTCTCACATATTGGCGTCGCGATTGGAACGATTCATCATGCCTGCCGAAATGGAACCACTAGATGCTAATTCAACTGCGCGTGACGTAGAGGATTATTTGGAACGGCTCGACATATGGTGCCTCACAAAATCCGATATGGATGATAAGAAACTCACTGCATATTTCCTACATTTCGTTGGCAAGGA